CGGGGCTCGGGTTAGGCACCGACTGCCGCCGAGCAGCCGTCCCCTCACGGGCTTGCCGCCTGCCGTGCTTGCTTGGATGAGTCTGCGACATGCCTGATAAGAGACGAGATGGGCCAGGGCGACGAGAGCGACCGCATTGTGATCAACGTGGGAGGGACTAGGCACCAGACTTACCGCAGCACCCTACGCACCCTGCCCGGCACTCGGCTGGCCTGGATCGCCGAGCCCGATGCCCACAGCCACTTCGACTATGACCCCCGCACGGATGAGTTTTTCTTTGACCGGCACCCGGGCGTCTTTGCCCACATCCTGAATTACTACCGCACTGGCAAGCTGCACTGCCCCGCCGACGTGTGCGGGCCCCTGTATGAGGAGGAGCTGGCCTTCTGGGGCATCGATGAGACCGATGTGGAGCCCTGCTGTTGGATGACCTACCGGCAGCATCGCGACGCCGAAGAGGCTCTGGACAGCTTTGGTGGGGCGCCCCTGGATAGCAGTGCCGAGGACGGAGACATAGATGGCACCGGAGACTCTGGCGATGGTGAAGAGGAGCTGGAGATGACAAAACGCCTAGCACTTAGTGACTCCCCAGATGGCAGGTCTGGGGGCTTCTGGAGGCGGTGGCAGCCCCGCATCTGGGCGCTCTTTGAGGATCCCTACTCCTCCAGATATGCAAGGGTAAGCTATGCAATCAGCACCCTCATCAACACACTCGAACCTCCCTTCGGTCCCACTTCCTCCCAGCATCATCAGGGTTATCTCCACTGTCACGGCACAGCAGCCATCCATGTGTGTAGCCATACAAAAACCATGCACGGGCTATGGGGACATAACCCACGCTCTCAAGCAGGCCCCATGCATGGGGCACGAGTGGACACCAAGGCATGAGCTTGTGTACGCATATGTGGGCTTCCAGAGACCCTTATTTTCTAACAGGCTCCTAAAAATCCACAGCCTGGGGCAAGGTCCCGTTCACGGGCCAGGGAGATCTCCATTATACCAGGTAATTTCCCTCCATGCATAGATTTTTACAGTCAGTCAGTCATCCCCCAGTGAAGAGAGACACCTTGTCCAGCCCCCTTATAAGCTAACAGCTCTCTCCCTTTACGAGACAGAGAAAGGATCATGGGAGCAGGCAGTCCCTGTGAGACCAGGCGATTTGGAGAGTTTCTCAGCCTGGATTGGAAAGGGAGTCTGCTCCGTTCTCTTTCCTCATACGTAACATGTTAAATATTTATGATCATGCTTCTCTGAGAATGGGTAATTCAGTTCCTCGCTTACCTCCTCACTCTGTCTGTTCCCTTGTGGGAAACGCAAAGTATTAATCAGAGGAGAGGGTTCATTCATGTAGAAGGGACACTGTGTTTGACAGGTTTCTTGCCTGGCTACTGAAGGACAACTCCTCCCCTCCTGGTGCCCGCAGTTGTTTTGGAAAAGGAATGCACACTGGTGCAGTTCATAGCATAGCTGTGGATGAAGATGGTCTTAAACCGTCACCCAACTCCTCTAAGTAGGTACCTCTCATGCTATTACATATGAGGATAATTACATTAATTAGGGCCTGATTCTGCTCCTGAAGTCAAAAGTAAAGAAAACATTTACTTTAGGAACAGCAGCATGATTAATCCCCAAGATACCCATATTGATAAAAAGGAAAATAGATGAAGGATAATGCCTTCGCAAAGAAATTGGTTTGGATAGGTTTTCCTCCTCTCTTAAATGTACCTTTGTCACAGCATAATTGCTGCCAGCCCTCGGCAGGGATGAGTGGTGCTTTGGTGTGGGAGGATGATCAGTGTTCCTGAGGAGGATCAAAGAAGTGAGATCAAATTAGAGAAAACTGAACGGATGGGGGAAAGAAATGTGGAAATGCAGGGAGCAGGGACAGGGGAGCTGGTTGTGTATGAATGGGTGGTGCAACAGCAGCTGCTGGAGACTTTGGGTCTGAGCAGAGATCTCCAGCAGGGAGCCACCAGGTCTGCAGACTGAATGAATGAGGAAAGCTGGAGCAGAGCCTGGAGTTACATCTTGGTGCAGTTCTAAAGAATCTTGTTTGCATACCCTTTGGAGATTTCCTCCCCAAACAAAGAAGTTAATATTTTAAATGAATTCCTTAAACAGCATAGAGGATAAAGGAATAATAAAATATTTACCACGAGATGAAAGGAGGATGCTGTTGAATTGCAGTTTTCAAATTCCTGATTTCTGCCAAGGGAACATGGAAACGGAGAGGGAAGGCTGGAGGGTATCCCTTAAAAGGCTTAGTTAGCTTCCTTTAATCAAGCCCAATGTTAGCAGGGGTTGATTTGAACAGCAGATCTCTCTGGTGCCCAGGAATCTGTTGGTAAAACACATTTCAAGTCAAAGCAGTGTGCTTGTCCAAGATTTTGTGGAATGGTCCAAAAGCCAAATGGATAATGCTGTCCCAACAAAAAGGATACAAACAGAGGCTAAAGCATCCTTTTGCTCAGAAGCACTGTGATATTTTAGATCAGAGGACAAAATCTATAACCAGTATTAAGAGTCTTTGTGATGTACAAGTTGGAATTCTAGGAGGATATAAATTCAATTTTCTAATTCTCTACAAGTGTTTTCATTTAGGAATAGGCATTTTATAGAGTGATTTGGGTTTGGTGGGGTTTTGTGTTTGGTTGATTGGGTTTTTTCAGTGGATGTTAAACCTTTTATTCACAATTACATGTGCATACCTGGTAGAACTCAACCCCTGATTTACCTCTGACTGGGTCTTTCCTTAAAAGATTGTTAAACTAGAGAAATACGAATTCTAGGCAAAGTTGAAGTGTATGCTGAATACATCATGGGTTAAATATGATTCTTTAACTTGTATCTATGGAGACGTAGGCCATATGCATTAATATTTTGCATGAAGGAAGATGGCTTTCATCATCAACATATGCACACGCTGTCCATTAAGAAGACATTATAAGACACTTAACATTTTCTAATAAAAGCCATATGTTATGGTTATGGATGTAAAAAGAGATGGGAGTTTGATTTATGCTCCTGTAACCTAACACAGACATTGCAAAAAGACCTTAAACTCACAATGGCTAATTTCAGTAAAATAATTGATAGCATCATTAACAAGCGAGTGGTATATTAAAGCAATCATTAGTGAAGTAGAGTCAGGCAACAAATCCACTGTTAACCTCACTTTTAATTGTGTACTCCACTTTGAATTACAAACCGTATTTCAGTTGTGCAAAAATTTAAATTCACATTGCCATTTTGTCAAAAAAATAACCACAAGAATTTGTCATCATAATTGTATCTGAGACTTGTGGTTATTATATACGTTTAGTCTTTACATATGGCGCCAAAATGTATGTCAAAATAACATCTTAATATAAGCGTCGGTTTACATAACCATTATACCTTTACACGTGGGCAAGTAAAAGGAATACAGTATATGAATAGAAGACTAAATAAAAACCTGCATATCTGAATAAAGCAAGATTTCTCTGGACTATAGCTGGTGCGCTAATTCAGCAAATATTTAGGAACTGCCTAGGGAAAGCTCAGCATTTACTCAAATCTAGCCATTCTTGGAGCATTTTGATGGCCACTGCTTACAAATACACTTGACTGTTTTACTTCACCAGCACCTAACTCGTTATATCTGTTCTCAGTGTAGATGGCCAGGGGAGACTGGAAGAGCACTTGTGTATGTCAGGCAAAATCAGCCAACTCTGCAAATTTTGTCTGTTTCTAAACTTACTTTGATAAACCATAAGCTCCCAGTCACTAATCGTTTGTCTTGAGGTCCAACATAGTCGACAACTTCTTGTTAAGACAATAGTGGCTGAGTTTAATTAAATTCTAGTTTTCTAAACACTAATTTCTTAAATAAGGAAGTCCTTTCTAAATACTTTAAAAAAATTGCATTGCCTTCTAAATCTGCAAGAAGAAAAGGTAGCTTGTTCCAAATTACAAATTGCCTTAGACACCTACCTTAATAAGATAAACGGGTGTCGCACATCTCCATAAAGAGTCCACATTTGGATAACAGAGGCAAAGTCTGGTACCTGGAGGTCTGAACAGAGTAACAGATAAGGTGATGGAAAAGATCAGATTTACAGAGATACTGGGTGCATATACGGACAGACAGGGATCCAGGTGGATTTTCAAAAGCATCTGATCAGAGACCTAATTATCACTGCATGTCAATGGATATTGTGCATCTAAATTGGTAAGACATTTCTTTAAAGCTTATTAGAACTGTCTTTTTTTTGCATGGTAAATTTATTTTTCATAAGTAGATGCAAAGGGGGCAATAACACTCAGAATCAAACAGAAAGCTACACAGAAACACCAAAGCAGCATATCTGAGAGTTTGTTGTAACAGAGTTCCTGCCTTCTGCACTCATAAGACTTCACAGGCTGCTCAGTACACAAACGTGTGAAAAAAATTTTCTTAGCTATGTCTGGTCATGCTGTTCTTACACCAGCAAAGCTCCCACTAACTTCTTGAGGAGTTTGGCCTGACGGTATTTAAGATCTTTGCCCCCTTCCTTTTCCTCCTCCCCAGCAGGATAAGGTTGTCTTTGTGTTAATTCACAGTCGTTAGGTTAGTCAGTGCTTGGGAACCAGGAGCTTTCAGCTAAGGTTCTGTGCTAGTGCTCACATTCAAATTGGATGGTTAAGCTTCGTTAATGAACCCTCAGGAGAGCTTTTGTAGTCCTTCCCAATAAATGGTTTTACTGTTTTTAAATAAAAGCTGGTTGGGGTCCTATGGAAAGTCCTGAACAGCTTGACTTGCTATCCTGGCGTATGCTATACAGCTCTGCTCTGGAAGAGGAAAGGCTTATGGCAAAACTCTCACTCACCCTTTCCCTCGTGTTCTCCCTTCACACCCTGCAGAAGGATCTGCTTTCCTCAGTGGGTGATTTTTGAAGGACAAATTTCCGACAGTGAGGAGAAGACAGGAAAAAGGATAGTGGGGAAGAGATGAAGAAAAAGTTATTCCCCAGGGATTTCTTCCAGCTTTCTTTTGTACATTCCAGAGCATTTCAGCCGGAGCATGGTTCCTGGATAACCGTAGTGTACTGAGGCTTAGAGGCCGGGGTGATTTCTGCTCACCCTTTACCCTGACCCAGTAGAGGAACTGGAGAAAGTACCAGGAAGTAGGAATAGATACTCATCACCCTTCACAAGGGGAGCTTATTCTGCAGCCATCTGACGTGGGACATAGTTGGCACAGCAGTGCTCCACGGACAGTGCTCCGGGGGCTCCCGCCAAGGACGAGCAGATAGGGAGAGAAAGGGGGAGAGCCGCCCCACGCGCTTTCCCCTACTCACTGGCACCACTCTCCCCAGGGAGGGGTTTCATCAAAGGGGCCCTGGGGGAGCTGCTCTCTCACCTTGGGTCTTTCTGCAAGGTCTTCCCTGCAGAGGCATATCTAATCCTGCACTGAAGCTGGCTGCAGTAATTTTCACCGTATACTTTGACAATTAACGAGACAGCCTAATTTTAACTGCACACTGCAATACAGCTCTGGAAAAATGAGACTCTTTCCACATTAAATGAAGTTTCCCCTGCACTTGTAGTATAATAGAATTACAGCTAGACATCTATTAACTACCATTCTATCATCCATTAAAGTTCCTACCATCCCATTTTATTCCTATTTCCTCCCATCAAGGGACATGTTACTGCAAATCCTTATATAACCCAGTAGTAAGCATGGTATAGTCTTCTCTGCATCCTGTCCAAAGAAGCTTTTGCAATGCCAGCTAGAAAGTGTTCACCGCTCACACTAAGTCCCACATCCAGTCCCTATCGAATTAGCCAAGGTGGGAGCAGGCACACTCAGAAGTAACTCCTGGGAATTGTCCCTCTGACTTCAGAAGTAACAAATTTTAAAACCA